TATGAATGATTCAGATATTGGTGTTAATGGACAAGGGTTTTAAAATAATTATGAGTAGTTCAGTGCTCAACCTCCCCCCAGCATGAAAGAAAACTCGATAAACAACAGATGAAAAATAGAGAATTGTCCATGAGACTTGGAATCAGTATAAAAGAACCATTTGGGAAATCAGATCTAAAATTACTTTATGTGAATAAGAACTTTTTAGATGGACTATTAGCATAACACAGGATTAATAAATTGGAAAGTAAAAACAACAAACAACTGGAAACAAAAGGAAAATTCAGATAAACTATTATTAGAGAGATATGGAACTCAATGTCTGTAGCAGACATCTCTGCCCAGTATTAGCAGACTCTGGTTAATTGCAACCCAGTCTCAGCGCCCTTTGATCTCTCCAAGCAGGCTTTTCAGATCTCCAGAGGTACAGAAGCTGCTGGCCGTATGGTTAACATTAACTTGGGAATAATGATTAGAAAGCATGGAGACCCAGGAGAACCAACAACAAAATCAGCATCCTTCTAGAGGAGCTTGGGGAGAGGATGGGTGATATTTGGCTCAAAATGGAAGTGTGTCCTTATTTTAAGAAGTCATTTAAATGATTAAAATCTCACTTGCCATACTGTAAGATGATAGGACCAACCATACCTATTGATCAAAAGTAACAAAAGGAAGGAAGGGTAAATGAGTTAAGTTATTTTAACTCTAAATTACAATATTATAATACAGGGAAATAGTAAAAGTAATAATTTCCACATGACTATATTTAATCAAAAATAAATGCAGTAACTTCTAAAGCAGTTACCTAAAAAACAATAAAGTAATGGAAAGGAAAATATGATGAAATTATTTGAATAATCTAAAAGAATGCAGCAAGAAACCAAGCTGCCAAGCAAATGGATCAAATAAGAAACAAATATTAAGATTAGAGATATGAAACCACAAATGGCAATAAATCCACTAAATGCAAACAGAACCAATAATACAATTTTAAAAACTATCATTATAGAAATAACTATGTGATGACTTCAAAAGGTGTACTGCAAATATAGTCGCAGAGAGGGTGAAATCACAAGAATGGGGGGACGACCTTGTCATGAAAGCACTAGCCAAAACAAAGCGGGTATAGCTATACTGACACTACACAGAACAGACTGTAAGACAAGCTCCTTACTAGAGATACTTGAGGGATGTTTCATAGTGATTAAGGGGCTAACCCAACAGGAACACATCACAGTGTAAATCTGTATACAACCACTAAAAATAGCTTAAAATACATAAGCAAAGATTGGGAAAAATAAATTAATACAAAGTCTCCCTCTTATCTGCAGTTGTATTTTCCATGGTTTCAGTTACCTACACTAAATTCAACAATATTAAATAGAAATTTCTAAAAATAAGAATGTTTTAAATTGCATGCCTTCCTGAATGGTGTGATGAAATTTTGCGTCACTCCATCCTACCTAGGATGTGAGTCATCTCTTTGTCCAGTGTATCCACCATATACATATATGTGTGTATGTGTGTGTGTATATATATATATATATATATTATGTGTACTTTATTATTATATACATATATATATACATATACATATTATTAGTTACCAGTAGTCAGCTAGTAGCTGACTGGATTATCAGATCAAGGCCACAGTAAAGCACTGCTTGTGTTCAAGTAAACCACACTTTCCTTATGAATGGCCCAAACATAAGAGTAGCAATGCTGCAATTCAGATATGCCAAAATGAAGTCACAGAGTACTTCATTTAAATAAAAGGTGAAAGCTCTCAATAAGAAAAGAAATCCCATGCTGAAGTTGCTAAGATGTAGGGTAAGAATGAAACTTTTATTCATGAAGTTGTTCTGTTTTATTTTTAGTTATGATTATTTAACTCTTACCATGCTTAATATGTACGTTAAAGTTTATTATAGATATGTAGCTATAGGAAAAACATAGTATTTGTAGGGTTCAGAGCTATGCCTGGTTTTAGGCTTTCCCTGGGAGAGGGGTACCAGGGACATATCTTCCACAGATAAGTGAGGACTAATACAGATGAGCACAGTAGAAGATTCTAATACTCTTTCATTAGCTGATGAACAAACTGAAAAAGACTCAATAAGAATATGAGTCCACCAGGTGCAGTGGCACATCCCTGTAATCCCAGCTACTTGGGGAGTCTGAGGCAGGAGGGCTGCAAGTTTATAGCCAGGTGGGAAATTTAACAAGACTATTTCAAAATAAAAAGTAAAAAGGGCTGAGGATATAGATCAGTGGTAGAATTCCCCAGGATTCAGTCCCCATCAGTGAAAACAAAAACAAAAACAAAACAACAATATAAAGGAGTTGAACAATATGATCACCAACTTTAACTTCAGCAATGTATACAATCTGACCCAACGATGACAGTATATACACATTCTTTTTAAGGACACATGGAATATTCAGCAAAATTGACTATATACTAGGTTATAATGAAAACCTTGGTAAATAAAATGAAGCAAATCAGCAAACCAAGTCTCAGCCTAAAGTCAACAACAAAAATATAAAAAAGAACATCTTATCTGCTTGGAAATGAAGCAATATAATTCAAAATAGTCCTAGGGTTAAATAAAAAATAAAAATATTTCCAACAAAAGGATAATGAAAATCTGACTCATTGAAATTTTGGGATACAGTTAAAACAGACTTTAAAGAGAAAATTATAGTCTTATCTCTATGTTTTAGAACAGAAGAAAGACTTCAAACTTATGATTTAAGCTTCCATCTCAAGAAATGAGCAAAAAGAACAGCATATTAACAATACAATATTTAAACATGTAGGTCTGATTTGTTCATATAGCAGTTTTATGCATAACTCTCAAAACTTGGAAGTGACCAAAATACTGTTCAGTAGGCCAGTGGATAAACAAACCAAAATACATCCACACAATAATATAGTATTCAGAAGAAGAAAAAACATCAGCTATCAAACCACAATAGGACACTGAATAACATTAAAAGCATACAAGCAAGTTGAAGCCAGTGAAAATATTGTATGATTTCGGTTATTTGACATTCATTTTTCTCACTTTTAGTTTATTAGCTCAGGCATTTTGTTACAGTAACAAAAAAGTGACGAATATAGTAGGGAAAAATTTATGAAAATTGTGAATTGTTTGCAAATAAGCACTAACCACAATAGGTACATTCTTAAAAGCAAAATTTAGAGTCAATGGAAAGATCATTGGTAGCCTGAGTCTGAGAAACAGGGCAAAGGGAAGGATGAATAGGTGGGACACAGGGATTTTTAGATTTTTAAGAATTTTGTATGATGCTGGAATAGTGAATTTATAACATTGTGTCTTTGTCAAACCTAAGCTGTGCATCACAGAGTGAACCCTAATGTAAATCAATTTTAAGTTATTTTTATATAGGATGTAAAAATTAAAATGGGTCATAGGCCCACAAATAAAAAGCTAAAACTATAAAACCTTTAGAACAACCAAGCATGAGAGAAAAAAATTTGAGACCTTGGGTTAGGCAAAGACTTTTAGATAGGACACAAAAAGCACAAATCATAAAAAAAGAATTTTTCAAAAATTTATGTCATTCAAATCAAATTTTTTGTTCTTCGAAAGACCCAGTTAAGAAAATGAAAAGACAAGCCATAGCCTGGGAGAAAATATTTGAAAGATGTCTATCTGATGAAAAACTTGTATCATATATAAAGAATCTTTCACCCTGATAATAAAAGGAGAACACCCTTTTTTAAGTGGGCAAAAGATATGAATAGATTATTTCACCGAAAAAGATATGTGCACATGAGAATGTTTAATATTAGTCATTAAGGAAATGTAATTAAAGCTGTAGTGAGATACTGCTACTGTATAGCCCTACTAGAGAGGTGTACCTAATAAAGTTAATAAAAAGTAATAATTTAAACACTGCTATCAATTGCTACTGAGGATTGAGAACAGCTGGAATTCTCACAGTTGCTAATGGGGATATAAATGGTGCAGCCACTTACTTTGGTAAATCCTTACAGAATTAATTATACCACAACCCAGCAATTCCACTTTTGGGGAGTTTTTGTTTGTTTGTTTGGTTTTGGTTTTTTTTTTGAGACAGAGTCGTGCTATGTAGTTCAGGCTGGCCTCGAACTCGCTGCAACCCTCCTGCCTCACCCCTGCGAGTGCTGGGATTACAGGCGTGCGCCATCACTCCTCTCAGCAATTCCACTTTTACATATCCAAGCAAAAATCTATACCTGAATGTATGCATCAGCTCTATTCATAATCCACGTAACCCAAATACCCATCAGCTAATACATGTATGAGTTACCGTGGGACAGCCAAACGATGAAATACTATTCAGCAATAAAAAGGAACAGAACTGCTGAAATATCAACATGGATGAATCTCAAAAGTGTTATGCTAAATGATGCTTGCGCAAAAGTTTACATACTAAGTCCAGTTACAAGCTATAAAAAGAGGAGGAGGAGGGGAAGGGGAAGGGGAAAGAGGAGAAGATCTGATCGGTGTGTGCATTCGCGCCTGGTAATTAGAAAATTCTCAATACAACCTGGGTGGACCTGTGGAGGGCAAAGCTTAGCAAGTGGGTGGACCTGTGGAGGGCAAAGCTTAGCAAGGAGGGTGAAGGGCAGCAAAGTGTCACAGGGGCGGGGGTGCGCCAGGGCGCCCAAATCCACCCGCAGGACGGAAAAGTGAGGGAAGGCGTGGTCCGGGCTACCTCCCAGGACTCCCAGAGTTTAAAAGACGGGACCCCATCAAGGACAAGAAAATAAGAGGCTAAGCAGCCTGGGCGTCCCCCTGGCCTGAGGAAAGGCACCAGGCGCCCCACCCTTCTTTCACAAATCCACGAGCCACACCTGGGCAGAGCAAACCGCGCCGCGGAGCTTTTGTCTGTGCTCCGCCTGGCAGAGGCGACCCGGGCGGCCCCGCGGGGAGCGGGCGAGGCCCAGACCCCGGCCGCCCTGCTCCTCCCTCCCGCGGCCCACTCACCCAGGCCTGCCGTTCCAGCTGAGCGTACAGATTGGAGCCCTTGAGCTTTTGGACTATCTGGGCAATCATGAGAGACAGATCCGACTCCTCCTGCAACATTTCCCCTGCCCTAGCCCGCCGAGCCGCGGGGACGGGCCGCCGGCACGAGGAGAATGGGCGGCCGGGTCCCGCTCGGGGTCGGTGACACTTCGTAGGACCTTTTCCGCTAGGACTCCTCCAGCGCGCGTTACCAGGCAACTGCAGGGCTGTGTTCGTCTCTCTCTAGTCCCCCTCTGCGCCTCAGGTCCCCAGCACCTGCGTTCCGCTGGCAGAAAAAGACCAGCGCAGCAAGGTCGCTTTCATCTCATTGTTCTGCCTACTCTAGGATTCAAGGACGAGGACAGCTCTTTCCTCCAGAGCTGCAGCGCCTCCGCTGCACAGGAAAGCGCAGAAGGGAGTGTGTGTGTGTGTGTGTGTGTGTGTGTGTGTGTGTGTGTGTGCATGTGTGTGAGTGTGCCTGTGTTCACCAGATAAAAGATCATTCCTCTTCCATCTCCCAGTCTTTGCAGAAATCGTCTGGAAAAGCAATGATACAACAAATTACGCATAAGAATTGTCAGGCTCTGGCTGAATGAACTTGGGCGAGATGCTTAAATTTCAGAACTTGGCTTTTACTTGTAAGATAAACCCAGTTCACGGGATGTTGCGATGGTTCGCTGAGGTAAAAATCATAGCACTGTACATTCAATTGTATTTCATTTTCTCCCTTTTCTATTCTCTGCAGACACATGCTAAAAATAAGGAGACAATCTCTTCTCATCACACAGCTACAAATTAACCAAGAAACACTGACAGATTTTCTATGATGCATCGTCAATTTAGCGCTGAAAAAGACATCGTCCTAATCTTTAGGCAATCAATCACGTAGTTTTCACTTCCCCATGTTCTTTCATTCATTTATTCATGATTCACTCAGCTTTCAGCTTATTGAGCATTTACATACGAAGAACTGTGTGAGCACAAGGGTTTAATAAAACATGTCGTTTTATAAGGAGATATATAAAAGCTTTTAGAGCTAGAAGTTACTGATATAACTAATGGAGTGACATCTCCAAAGGTCAGTGGCAGCTGGGCATGGTGGCGCTCCTATAATCTCAGCACTTGGGAGGCTAAGGAAGGAGGCTGGGCTATATAGTGAGTTCAAGGCCAGACTGAACTACATAGAGAGACCCTGTCTCAAAAAAAAAAAATGAATGGTAGTCAGAAAAGAGATTAAGAAATAATTCACATCAGGGTGACTTTGACAAAATAATCAAGATTTCAATTGTGTACATGCATATATTTTAAGCAAAACAAAAGTAGCATTCCAGGAAAACATATCACCTTGTTGAAACAGCTACTCTAGACTAACTGTATCAGATTTCCATATGCTTAGACGTCACAAGAGGTCTTGGTAAATCAAATGTAGGTTCTGATTCAGTAGGTCTCTGGTGAGATCTGGTGATCTGAATTTCTGACAAGTCCCAGGAGAGTGTAATGCCAGTGGCCCAAAGGCTACATACCAAATAGGATAGGACTAGAGCAGGTAAACAATAGGGATTCCAAAGGATTAGATCCCTGGCAATCTATGTACAACCTCCTAGCATTCATAATACCACCGTTTGGGATGTTGTGATGATAAATACAGTTTCTGTGTAGCCCATTGTATCATTCGTTCATTCAGCCAATTTTGGAAGGAAGCTGGCAGAGGGAGAGAAAGGAAGGAAAAGAAAGAATTTAACAGCAATTGATGATAAACTCTACCAAACACATTCTTTGGGGGGTGAGTGAGACAAGGTCTGGCTGTATTGTTCAGATCAGCCTTAAAGTCCCTATATAGCCCAAGCTGGCCTTGCACTCACCATCCTCCTGCCTAGCCTCCCAGGTGCATCCAGCCTCCTTAACCTTTTATAGTCCCTCTATGGTCTTAACCCACTCATCCAAGAGTCTCCAATACAAACCTCACCTTGAACAAAAACAAGAAAAAAAAATCTATGATGAAAGTTCCTTTGAGACTAGAGGGAAGGGTGCTGAGTACTAAGAGTTAAAGATGCTTACTATTTTGCGGTGGATCCTAGAGCATAGTCAAGAAGAAAGATGAAGCTGTGAAATAGAAGAAAACACTCAGTGCCTGCATGGGAACTTTCCAACTCCCTTCCTAAGATGGTAGCTTAGGAATTGCATGACTTTTTCCACATCAGAGTTTCAACTTTCTTGTCAGTAACAAATGGTAAAATAGCAACCTAGGGGATATTATGAGGAGCAATGTACTTAGTATTAATATATTAGTAAATATTAACAAAAATTGTGCATGATTTGTATAGATTAGTATATGATTAGTAAACTACAAAATACTGACAAGAGAAAATAAAGATGATATTAATAACGAAGGAAATAAACCATGTTTATGGGCCAGAAAACTCAATATTGTTAAGATGTCAGTTCTCCTCAAATTTAACCATAGATTCAACATAATCCAAATCAAAATTCCAAAAGGTTTTGTAAGCAATTTAAATGTTGATTCTAAAGTCCTTTGCTTTGCCTTATAAATTTTACACTTGATCTTAGCTTAAAGGCCGAGAAGCAATTGCCATATAAATTTTAGAAACAATTTTGAAAAAGAGAAACAAGGACCACCTGTATTGCTTTTATGGCAAACAAAATTTACAAGAGAAAACTCATCAAACAGTGATACAAGTCATAAGACATTTATTTGGGGGGTACTGGGGATTGAACTCAGGTCCTTGCTCTTGAGAGGCAGGCAATGGAACCACTGAGCTAAATCCCTGGCCCCCATAAAATGTTTATTATTACCAGTAAATCTAGAGGGGAGTCCTAAGTTTGGTTCAGTGTCAACACTATCATCAAGAATCTATATTCTTTCACTTTCCATTCTACTGCCCTCAGTATAATGGCTTTCCCTCTCCAACTTACTGCTTCAGTTTGAAGGGGGCTGGCTATAGTTCTTCTGATTCTATCAATTATCCCTTATCAACACAAACCTTAAAGATAAAGAGAGCATAGTGAAGTGTTTCAACTCTAAAAGAAATCAACTTCCAACCAAGACTCATATCACATCCTTTTTCTGCTGCCTTGATTTAGTTGGTCTGTCTGTTTGTGGTAGTAGGGTATTGAGATACCCCACTATAATTGTTTTGATGTTTATCTGATCTTTTCTGTAATTAGAGTTTCTTTTATGAAGTTTGGTGCACCAAAGTTTGGTACATATATGTTTATAATTGTTGTAATTTTATGTTGAATGGTTCTATTAACCAATGTGTAGTGTCTTTGCCTCTTAATCATATTTGGCTAGCAATTCACTTTGTCTGAAAAAAAAATAGCTATTCCTGCTTCTTTTGGGGTTCCCATGGCATGAATTTACTTTTGTGTTAAATGTTGTTTCTTGTATATAGCCTGCCATTGGATTTTGGTTCTTGATTCATTCTGTTAATCTGTATCTTTTCATTAGCAAGTTGGGCCCATTTACATTGATAGTTATAATTTATAGGTATTGACTTCTTTCTGTCATTGTGTTGATTCCCTGTTGCTGTTTTGCTTTTTTCCCTTTTTCTTAATTGCTAGCCTCGTGTGATTTATTCATTTTGCTGGACCTTTTAGCTTTGTTAGTTTCATTGTCTCTTTCTAGGATATCCTTGAGAGTTTTTTTGAGTGTTAGTATTGTGGTTATAAACTTTTTTGTGCATTCTTTATTGTGGAAATATCTTATTTTTCCATCAATTTTGAAAGATAAATTTGCAGGATGTAACAGTCTGTGTTGGAAGCTGTCTTCTTTTAGAGCTTGAAATATTTCATTCTATGATCTCCTTGCCTTTAAAGTTTGAGATGAGAAATCTGTTGTAATTCTGATGGGTTTTGTTGCTTTTCTTTAGCAGCCTTTAAGATTCTGTTCTTGTGCTATATTTCTGGTATTTTAATTATCATGTTGTGTGCATTTTTTTTCTGTTCATGACTATTTGGGATTCTATATGCCTCACTTACATGTATGTTAAATTCTTTTTCCAAGTCTAGAAAGTTTTCTGCTATTACTTCTTTAAACAGGTTTTTTATGCTCTTTATTGTATTTTCTGATTTTTCACTAATTCCAGTTACTCTCATATTAGTCTTCTTTGAGTAATCTAGGAGTGGTGGAATTAATTTTTCATGTTCCCTTGTTGTTTTTAAGGTATTGCTCATTAGTCTTCTAGATCTGACATTGTGTTTCACATTGTTCACGTCTGCTACCCATATTTTCAATCATGTTTTTAATCTCTTGGAATTCTGTTTAGAACTTTTTTTTTACAGAATCTCATTCTTTTCTATGCTGGGCATTTATGCTTTGCATCTCTTTTTTTAGCTCCACTAGATATGTATATTAGTGTCTTCTCTAGACCTACTGATCATTTGTTTCATTGAGGTCATTATCTGATGTGTTATGTTTTCTTTAAATTTGTGAAGCAATTTATTGAACTGCTTTACCTCCATTGATTCCCTTTTAGGCCCATCTGTTGTGTGATTTATGATTTCCTCCCCGAATGCCCCATGAATTGGTTTTAGCGAGTTAGAAGTTTTTGGAAGTATTTTGTTGCCTTATCTTTTCATGTTTCTGTGTGTGTGTGTGTATGTGTGTGTGTGTGTATGTGTGTGTGTCCATCCTGGGGTGTGCAGGTTCTTTAGCTCAGTATCCCATTCCTCAGAAGTGACTGTATTTTTTATGACCCCTAGGCAATCCAGATATTAGCAGAGAGAGAAAAACCAATTGTCAGCCTTGATTATAGCAGTAAATGCAGCAACAACAATGGCACCAAATGTCACCTGGGTATTGACAAACCCTAGAAACCACTCATGAACATCCCTTAACCAGAACAAAGTGGACTACACTTTTAGTGAAGACAATTAGCCCTCCCGCTTATATTGACTTATAGTAATTCGGACTACTCATTTTTGCTGGATGTAGGAAGCAGTTCCAGAGTTCAAACACATCACTTTTCAAGCCTCCCAGGAAATCCCAGGAGATCCGTGTTGGGTCCTCACCTTTCTAACGCTGTCTACTAAGGATGTATTTTAACTAGCTTTGGTGGTAGAGTAATACTTCATTCCTGAAGCAAAAATCTACTCTTGGGTGTTGGTCTCTTCATCGATCAGGATGGTCTGTTGGTTGTCACCTCTGTTGTCCTGTGCTATGGAGAATCCAGGAGCAGAAGTAGTGTTAGGTGGGGTTGGAATATGCAGTTCCTGGTCCTTTAAGCTTGGCTTAGGTACTGGGCAAGCATCAGCATCCTCTGTGTTGAAAGGCAGGAAAAGAACAAAATAAAAGGGATCTCAGTAACTATGTGCATCTTTTATGAAGCTCCCAAGAAGAATTTCCCATATGTCTTATTACCTGAAGTTGTGTC